CTTGGAAGAGAGGGAAACTTCATGGTCAGCCCTGATGCACGTCTAAAAGTCCGAGAAGTCAAACAGAGAAAGGCAATGATATGAAGAGTAGGGCACAGCTGGGAGGATGAGACAAAGGAGAGAAAGAGAGGAGTAGAGTATAGAAGACAAGATAAGGGGCGGGAGAGTGGCAAAGATGGAAACAGTGCTGTAGGGAGGAGAGAGTAGCAGAGACATGAAGAAAAGGAGCAAGGAAACTACAAAGAGAAGCTCAGCACAAACAGCCAAGTTCAGTAGGAAAACAGCTATTTACATCACAGCTGCAGACTCTAGGGGATGAAAGAGTGAAGGAATAAGCTGCCTCTAACCACTCTGAACCTGACATTGATGACGCTGTTCAATCATTGATTCAGGCTCTTCTTGTTCTCTGACATGCTGGAACAGTAGCTTGCTGAGAAAAAAAGAGGGCCAGAAGTGAGAAGAGGCAGCGTTGATAATGAAAGCAGCAGTGTTTCCTAAATTGGGGAATATTTGATGTTGATTGATTCGTAATAACCAAGTAGGAGAATAAAGGAATTCTCATAGGCATCCTGATATAACCTATAAGGGGAAGATTCAATAGGATTAAGCTCTTAAAGATGGAAAACAGCTTTAGAATTCAGGAGAATGTTGAGTTCCCCAAAGATTTTGGAATTGTTACTAGCTAACCTGGGTCTTGTACCTGCAACTCATGTACAACTACAATTGCCATTCACTTCACAGTGAGTTTTAGTTGGGCAAGCTCAGCTCTTAGATCATTAGGGGACTAACTAGCCAAGCACAGCTGAATTTTCACATAATAAATTCAGAGGCAGTCTGGCAGTTGCCAGTTGGGATAAGTATTTAAGAATTCTGAAATAAAGTGTTTGCTCATTAACTTGTATTAGGCCCCAGTGCTGCAAATGATAGCTGCTGCTGCTTGCATGACTAATAGAGCCTATTAGCATGTTCATTAAAAGCATATCAATAGGATGCATCCAAAATTCAAGCAGTGGCATTTAGATAAGGGAAAAAACAAGAGATACCCCTCCCCCCAAATTCTTTGAAATTTTATCTGAAACAAAATTCTGCTCCCTTGCTTAACTCTACTGTCTGTTTTATCAAGGTAATCACTGTACTTCTTGATAACTTATTTTATAGATTAATTAGCAGCTGATTAAGTGATGCTCATAACTGGTCTGTTCTCAAAACTAGTCAAAAGCAGTAGGTCAATAATGGGACATTTAACAACTATCACTCTGGTGCCCTGATACTTGTCAACTGAAGTATTATATTCTCCATGAATCACTTGCTATAGGAAAACAACAAGGAGTCTGGTGGCTACCCCCTGATACTTGCTATAGGAAAAATAGTGTCAATGTGATAGATCATCAGTACAGTATTATTATTATGTTTTCTCTTCAATAACTGTTTTTCATAAACACTTCTGCACTTAGATTCCATTCTCATTGAAGTCAGTGGCAGGTGGAGGACAATTCTTTTCTGATCTCTGCAGGTTGATCAACTTATGCCACTTAAGCATGCTATTTAATGACCCATATTATCTTAGCTTCCATACTTATAACTATGGTCAACAAATTTATCAGTGGTCCAATTTGATCATGATGTGGTCAAAAAGTTTTCCAGCTGGTTTTAAAATTGCAGACCCAGTATTTAAATATTGCTTGTACTGTGAAAATTGACTGAAGAAGTATTTGAAATTAGCCTTAGTGTGTGATTGGATTGCACATGTGAACCAGCAAAACGTCTGCTTGAATTCTGCTTACATTAGTTTTTTGTTATTTTGCCCCCTTCCCTCTATGTGGGTATCTGCAAACGTTTTGAGACTGATTTTCAGTGTATTGTGAACACGAGACCGATTTGTTTGGACCAGGACTGAGTCATACAGTATTGACGAATTGATGACCAGGTTGATTATTTGTTTATTTTGAAGCTTCTGTCTTGTTCTCCACAATCTCAGCTTTCACTTTGAACAGGTCACGTGAGTATTTGTTCTGTGCTCCTTATTGGCTAACAGGTACAGCAGCCCTGTTCTAGAAGCCATTTTCACTTGGTTTCTCAGAGAGAGAGAGAGAGAGAGGTTGCTTTTCCATTAATTCTTTTTGATCCAGCTGGACAAATCCAGAAAAGAAAAATCTTCTCTGGATCTCTGCATTTTTTACTCTGGCAGAAAAAGACTTATTAAGCTTACACAATTACTCCTGTAGCTTGGGACAGTTTTTAGTATTTAATATTTTTGCCTTACAAAATTCTCAAACTTGAGTGTTGTGGGTGCTCAGTCACTTTTCATCTAGGTGTCTAAAAATGTCTTTAGTGCCTAACTCTTGACACCTAATTATGAAAATTTGGGCAAATACCTTTAAGTGGACCACCTAAATTGGACACAATAATGTAGGCGATGGGTAACTATTGTTCAACATAACCTCATAATACTTTCTGTGGTTTCCATTCCTGTTTTAATGCACCTAAGCTTCTACAAGGGGCTTTCTTCACTTTTCTTGGAAGACATTTTGTAGTAGTTCCATTAAGAAGTTTTGTTGATATGTGCCTGAAATGTTCTTTGCTTAATTTTGTCCCAATATTCCAAGCTGTGTCTCCTGGCATCACCCACAACAGTTACTCCCTCCTCCCCACAGACAGTTGTATCCACTCTTAGTTATTATTTAACCAAATTTGACATTTACAATCCCTTTTAATCTTTCTTCATAAGTCAATCTCTCCAGCCCCTTGATCACTTTTTATTGCTCTTCTTTGAAGTCTCCAATTGGTGAGTATCTCTTGTATGGAAGTTTACAGAACTGAAATCCACGTCCTACCTGTGGTTCTTACCAGAGTTGTGCAAAGAGGGACGGACCATAACGTCTCTGATTCAGATTTGCTGTCTGACTAATAATAACACCTAGCTTTTATATTCTGTGTTACTTTTTTGGAGTGCCTTATAGCATTGCATTTCAAATTAATATATAATTTGCGGTCTGCTATCACTCCCTAGGCGCTTTCAACATTCCCAACTGTTTCCCACCCACTAGTATCTTTGCTTTGGGTTATCATTCCCCAGAGGTAATCACTTGTGTGTACACAGGTCTTGGTGATTTATTGCAGTTGTTTTCTCCAGTTGGCTCCATAACATCTTCCTTAGTCAATTGCATGGAAAAGGAATTCTTTTTCTCTATAACAAAGACTGATCCAAAAGCTCACATTTAATTTAGCACATCCCCATAAGCTGTTCTCTTGGTAGTTTTCTCCACTATTAAAATTATCTACTTTTAATAGGAGAACAGTTAATGAAAAGTTTTCAGAGTGTAAAACAGAGCGTAGGTAATGAATGCCAATGCCACATTTCATGATGTATGTCAACTTCCTTACACAATTTAGGGAAAAGTTCTGCTCCCAAATCCGCAGTGCCAGGAGATGATCCTCAGCTGGTGTAAACTGTCATATGCCCATTGAAGTTACTGGACCTGTGACAATATACAGCAATGAACTATCTGTCTTCAGATCACTATTGTTGATTCTGCCCTTATTCCAAGTGTGGACTATGACTTATGCCCATAGAAATATTGTGCATGATACAAATGCAGAACATACATAAAAAATCTGCCAGGCAACCTGGTGAGTAGAGTTTTGCACTTAAGTTTTAACTAACACTTCCCTCTGTCTACCCTACCTACCTCCTGCATGTTCTCAGCTCTCCTCCCAGCTGTCCCTGGATTTCTTCTTTTCCACTTTCATCACATTAATCTCTTGCTCATTTGAAAAATGTTGCATAAGTATTTTAAATGCTGGACTGTCAATATAGAAGGAATGGTGTAAAAGGGCATGCTTGCCCCGTAGTGCCTGCTGATGGCTAGTATGGTGGCTCTGCTGAGGCCTGCCTCAGTTTCCCCTTAACTCAGACTTCCTTAAAGAGTCCACACAGGCCAGATATTCAAAATATTCCCCCTTCTGGGGTCCAATATATTAAGTCCTGTACACAATATTTTAAAATAGACTCAGACCTACACTCTTCACCCCAGTTTCAGCTGGACCCTGCCACTCTTCCCTAAGGGTCCATCCTCTCTTTTAAAGTTCCTTTCTTTTGCCCCAGTCCCAAGCTGGGCACAACTCCTGCTCCCTGAGGATCTGTCTTCCCACCCACCTTCCCACAGGCCTCCTCACTGACTCAGGGCCCTGCAGGAACCATCCTACTCCCTGCACTGTCTGCGGGCATCGTCTTACAACCTGCAGCTGTTTCCCCCTTTATAAGGCCCAGGTGCTTTCCTTTAAGCCCTGTTGGGCACCAGTTAGTAAGTCCAGGTGCACTGGACCCCACTCCCTCTTAAAGTGACGGTGACAGATGGGTTATCCTTGATTTTTGCTGTGAGGGTCAATCTAACTCAGGGCAGGATCTTCTCAATTACAGGACCCTATGTCTGGAATTTCCTCCTTGAGGACATCTGCCCATATTTCTCTCTCCAAGACTCAACTAAAGGTTTTTCTATGCAGGCTAGTACCTCTGTAACCATTTTGGTCTCTCTTTATGTGCCTATTCTTTTGCCCAGCTCTGTTTGAGGGAATGGTTGGTTTTTCTGGGCATTGGGCCCAGTTTTTGTTTAATTTTGACTACAGATGGTACAGTTTCCCAGATCCTATACCCAGAGACAAGCACTTTATAAGTGTTAAAAAATAAAATAAAATCTGTCTCTTGTCTCCAAGTAAGAACCAGGACTTTCAAAACTCTGCCTTTTTATAGAAACTTCTTTTCTGTGATCGCTCCAGTCATTACCAAGTTATCAAAATAAGTTAAATAGTTTATAAGAGCTCCATAAAACACTTTAAATTAGCTTCAATGTTCTTGAACAATTACATAAAATAAAGTTCCAGTATCAAACCTGCTCAGCATTGGTGTGGCCGTAAAGGAGCCAGCTTTGGATTTTACCTCTGGATTTTACAAAGTGATCTTATTTTCAGAATTAAAGAAATAAAGAGTATGGAAAACTTACTGTGTATTCTGGTCCCAGTTTGTCCATTGGTAAGAGAAGGCAAGAGAGAAAAAAAAGTAGAATAAAATAATGATGCAAATTATTTTCACTAAATGCAAAGGTATATTAATAATCAAAATCATTGGACTGAATAAAGTACTGACTTAGACTTCACTGTGCAATCCCACTGGAGTCTATGGGACAGCATGGAATACAAGTCAGCATGATATTTAATATTCAGTATCTAAAGATCTAATGCAGAAATTTAAAAGGGGAGAAGGTAGCATAGGATAATGTTTGTTTTTACCCATCTATAGTTTCTGCATATTACCCATATTTCTTGGTAATACTAACTGATGAGAAATAAAAATACACGGTGGTTAAACAGGAATTGTTCAAATATTTTAACATCTGCCTCTAGGTATGTGGCATGCAGCCTTTAAGGACAGGCAAGACTATCCACAATAAACTTCCAATGTTTTCAGTTTGCTTTGAGTACTTACCTGTGATTGTATATGGGTAATAATTCCAAGCCTTCTCTGTAATGTAAAATATTTTGGGAACAACTGCTCTGGCCCAGCTAGGTAGTTTGCTGCAAAGAAAGGAAATCCTAAATTAGAATATTTATTGACTTGCGAGAACTGTAAGACACTTTCTAATCATGCTCACAATTTACAAGTACTAAGCAGGACCTACTAACACTAAAGGCTCGTTTATGCTACCCGCCAGATTGGCAGGCAGCGATTGATCCAGCGGGGTTGATAGATGCGATAAATCGACCGCTGAACGCTCTCCTGTCGTCTCTGGTACTCCACCAGAACAAGGAGCACAAGCCGAGTCGATAGGAGAGTGTCAACTGTCGACTTACCGCAGTGAAGACACAACGGTAAGTAGCTCTAAGTATGTCGACTTCAGCTACGCTATTCACGTAGCTGAAGTTGGGTATCTTAGATCGACCCCACACGGTAGCGTAGCCAAGCCCTAAGTCCTCACACAGTAATGTCCGTAAGTTATGTGTCCCTTTAAATCTGCATTGAAATCTCACTTTAGCCAACTCCTGACCATTGGCCATTGCACTGCCACACATTTATTCATTCTTTTGGAGAGAATAACTTCCTTTTACACTTCTCTAGCTAAGGAGAAGATTCAAAGTATGGGTTTGTGAATTCACAGCCTTGGTCATGTGAGGAATCAGCACAGGTAATGAGATGCAGTGAGTACTTTACACTATAGTATTCTTAGCGTAAGGAGACAGCCTTTATCAAGAGTAGTGAGCAAGTATAGTAAACTGGCCTAGTCATTCTGATTTTGTTACTTCTGCCTAAGGAGTTTCTTCCTCCATATTCTCTACTGATGCATAAACTTTTGTATTCCATTAACCCCAAATCCTATGAGACAGGATTTTCTGTGTGCTAATAATACTATGTAGCAATTATAAAGAGTTTTATATTCAAATTAACTATCCCTCACTAACATCTTTGTGAAGTTGGGGGTATGTACCGCTACCTCGATATAACGTGACCCGATATAACACAAATTTGGATATAACGCAGTAAAGCAGTGCTCCGGGGGGGGGGGGGGGGGGGGG